CCCCCCCACCGACAACCTCTTACTGTAGCCATCAGGCCTTTGCAGCTGTAGAAAGGGAAACTGGCTGGCTTTTGCAAAAATGGTGGCTGTAGCTTCATTTAGGGTAGGGAAGCTGCAGCCAACATCTTTGCAAAGGGCAGCCTTTGCAAGGGAGGCTAAGGTAATCCAGGCTGCCCTTTGCAAGATAGAGAAGTTACTTATCTGTAACTCTGGTTTTTCAAGTGGTTATCTGTGAATTCACACTAATGGGTTAATCTGTGCCTGGACAGAGATTTCTGGAATCTTCTAAAGCTTAACACTTGTTTGCCAGGACCGCCCCCCCAGTGCATGTGGTCCACCCATCCTGGCTAGTACCTCAGTTCCCAAACTGCCCACCGCTGAGTAAAATGAAACAGACGTGATGGACAGAGGGGAGGGCGGGCGGGAAGTGTGAATTCACAGATGACCACTCAAAGAACCAGAGTTACAGGTAAGTAACCTCTCTTTCTTCTTTGTGGTCTCTGTGAATGCACACTAATGGGTGATTAACACGCTTACCTGACTGAAGGAGGGACATCATGGAAGAACAGACGACAGGACAGCTTGTCCAAATGCAGAATCCGACTTAGCCGAGAGGTCCAAGCGGTAATGAGAGGCAAAGGTGGATGGCGCGGACCACATAGTAGCCCTGCAGATTTCAGCGACAGAAACACCTCTGAGGAATGCTGCAGAAGTACCCACTGCCCTCGTAGAATGAGCCTTAACTCCAACTGGAAGAGTCTTCTTAGTCCACTGATATGACAAGCGAATGGTTGATACAAGCCACTTAGAGATGGTTTGGGAGGAGATAAAGCATTCTCTGTGTGGTAAGTGCGGAGACTAATGCATGTGGCTTGAAGTACTGAAGGGCAGCATGGATCTTTGTAGCATGGTCTTGGGGAAGGTAGGCTCGTGCTTCGCGAGAATCTAGAACTGTGCCTATATACAGTGGTGCCTCGCACAACGAGTGCACCGTAGAACGACGAATCCGCACAACGGGGCCGTTCTAGTGATCGTAAGTGCGATCGCACACCGACGGCCCCTATGGCTCGAAATCGCAGAGCGAAGGTCGGTAAGTGCTGTTCTCAGCCACAAAGCAGACAGTCTGCAGCAGCACAATGTGCATGGCTGGATGTTGGCTCCAGATGGGCCCTTGGTTTTGCTGCTATCACACAGCAGAATGCAAGCCTACCCAATTAGCTGTTTGCACGGGAATTCAAGTGTGTACCTTGATATGCACTCTTACTGGAACTCCTGCTTTTATATGGCAACTCCCAGAAGCTTTCATCACCACCTCTGCTGGCCAGGATTTCTGGGAGTTGAAGTCCAAGAACATCTGGAGGCCCAAGGTTGGGGACCACTGCCTTATGGAAGAAACTACTATGTAACCCATGAATTATTAAATTCACAATATTAAAGTGAAACGATAAGTTTTTCCTGCCCCCACCCCAAAGAAATGAGATTCTCCAGTAAAATACTTTGAACGGAAGACATGTCTTGGGTTGTTCTGCTTTATTAGACGAACAGAGTCTGCTCATTTGCTTTGCATGGAGAGCTGCAAAACTACACCAGATACAAGAAAATGCACATTATTCATGTCACACAATATGATCAAATTCACAGTGTAAAGGAAACAAGAAAGCGATAGACCTAAAACCAGTATGCGACGGGGCCAGTCTCTGATAAAGTAATGGAACAAACATGGGATGGAACATGGAAGAAAAAAAATCTGATATAATTTCCCTGAAAGCTCCTAATTTGTTTCTGATTTTACTTGAAAGAGGGACAAATTGAATGTAATGGGACTGAGCAAGCATGTAGTAAAGTGACTGCAGGACAGAAATAAGTTCTTTGAATCATTATTGGAGATTTCCCCCTTCAATTTTATCAAAATATGGGCTACTGAGCTATAAACAGAATTAGGTATTTTGAAAAGATCCAGCGACAAGAGCATCTGACCTGCTGGATTCCTCAAAGCACCACTCTATAGTTACCCTGCTCACTTCAGTACATTTATTCTGTTTGAGGATAAAAGTCTGCGTGTTCTAAAAACACCATGTTCCAAGTACAGAAGGTGTGATTCTAAAGCATAATAATTTCACCATCACAGGCAACATCTGTAAAGAGGACATTTGGTTGCTTATTATTTTCAGCAAGATGAAACTACACGTCATTTTTGTTTTCCATCTTGCCAAAAGCAAAAACTTATAAAACTGTCAGAGTATCTTCCTGATGAGGTAGCACAATTTATGTTCTAAGATGTGGGGTTTTTCTTGATCTCTTCATTCCAATCAAAATCTAACAAAGCATCATCAAAATCAGTTATTGAGAACAAGGATTTGCCTGTAACCATTTCACCTTTTCCCAATTCAGAGGGCCTCCCTGTGAGGCGTGCAGTATCAGTTTGGGGATTCAGCCTCTGCCTGTCCTCATTACGGCTGGTGACATTCGGGGGACAAAGAGGTTCTCCTTTGGATTCAGGGGGTGGCGTGAATGCAAATCGGGCTAATTTTGCTAGTGTACTGGAGCACACTTTTTTGGTCTTCAGACTGTCCAACTTTTCCGCTCCAGTGTCTGTCTGTTTTGAGGATGAAACAGCTTTCTTCTCCTCCTTTCTTTTGCTATCACAGAGTGGATCTTGTATTCTCGTATTTCTGACTTCAGCATTTTGTTCTTGCTGGTACTTCTCAGAACATTCCCCCCCTTGCTTTTCTCCTGTTGATTCATTTCTGGTAGAAGCAGGAAGGCTGGAAGCAGTCTGTGGTAACTTGGCATGAGCCTCACTTTTGGAAGCATGAACAAGTCTTGGCTTCTGCCTAAAGGAAAATTTAGCTAGTTTAGGAGGTGCAGACTCCAAGTTCTCAATGATCTCAGGTTCACTGTACTGCTCTCTTCTCTCTGATTGGTCCCTACTTCGCTTCCTGGTTGAACGTAACAATTCCTGATGCCCTGAAGATATATTACGAGACGGAGAAGCATACAAGCCCGTTATAGGAGACTGAGGGGCAGCTACTGAATGAGAAGACAATGAAGTTGGGGAATTCACCGCTTTAGGATCTGGTGTACTTGAGCAAAATCCCCGAACTCTCTGCCATTTCTTAGAGGCTTTTTGGGTAATCACTCCATCAGATGAGGAAGGGCAGGTTGCATTTGATTTCTGGTTCGTTGCTCCTGAAGGCAACACTGTACTCTTGGCTGTTACTACCAGATGAGAAATGGCCTGTCTGCAAGGATTTCCTGGGGCTGTTGGTGGTGGTGATTCCCCTATCTCAACTTGTTTGGCTTCTCTTGCGTCACTTCTCTCTTTAGAACCAGCTTTGTTCCTTGATGCTTTCAAAGGTGGACTGTTTGGAGCTGTTATTGGAACAAGAGACTTGTAAGTATTCTTCTCAGCTTCAATACTGTCATCTGCTAAGCTATCAAACCAGTTCAAGCTGCTATCATTGCTCCTCTCGCTCTGTTGGCCCCACCGTTCTGTTACTGTGCTATTATCAGGTATCTGGCTGCTTAAGGATCCTGGATGGGTATCAGGGTTTATTTTGGCTACAGGAAGTGGCAGCTCAATATTATGCTCCGTTTTGTCTGAACGTTGAGGATGAGACATCTGCTCAGACTTCCCCAGTGAGTGGTTGTTTAAAGATGGTTCTTCGGGCTGCAGAAGGTGATTTGAATGTTCATTCTGTAATCTACAAAAAACAAACAAACAAGAATATACTTTCACAAAAGCAGTTTACAATTATTCAGGACCTTTGAAATGCACAATTGTCTGCCTTTTAAAAGATGCAGCAGATAAAAGTATTACAAGTAAATATAAGATTTCATATTCATACTCAACTTTCCTTTGCAGTGAAGCCTACCGTATTTGCCGGTGTATAAGGTGACTGGGAGTATAACATTCCCACTCAGACTGCCTTTTAAAAGATGCAGCAGATAAAAGCATTACAAGTATTACAAGTACAAGGTAAATATGAGATTTCATATTCGTACTCAACTTTCCTTTGCAGTGAATCCTAAAAAGTCGTCTTGTACACCGGCAAATATGGTGTGTGTATTTAGTCAGACGTAAGTCCAGCTATCTTCAATGGTGGCCTCATTTATGTCGATTTTAACAAATAACTAATTCAGCATCATATTGCTATCAGACTATTCCCCCCACAGCATGATTATTAAGTTCTGTTACAGGGCACTCTTTTTTCACAACAAACATGTGCGTTGTCTCTGAACCCATCCTAATTTCAACATTTATTTTTCCTTTGCATATAAACGTTTCCAGACCTGTTGATCCTTTCTAATTCTTTACACAGAAGGTCTTGCAGCTCCAGCTTCTCCAGGATCAGCTCACACTGCATTCGGTATTGTTCCATTGGATTTTCAGGAAAGGACGTATGCAATGCATTGATACCTCCAAGAAGTGCACCTCCCTACCAGAAGGAAAAGAAATAACAGTGTAATATCATTTTTAAAAGCGTTTGAACTTCATGAGCTAAATTAAGCATAGCAAAGACTTAACAGATTTTGTAGCACTGAAAAAATGATTCACTTGTATAAACTTTTGAGATACAGTGGTGCCCCGCTAGATGCTTACCCCGCATGACGTCAAAATCACTTAATGATGACTTTTTTGCTATTGCTTATTGCAAAACGATGGTTCCAATGGGGGAAATCCGCATTACGTTGAGTAGGAGCCTGCTTCACGAATCATTTCTTCGCTATACAATGATTTTTCTGGTTCCGCAAAATGGCTTCCCTCCCTTTGCAAAATGGCTTCCCTCCCTTTGCAAAATGGCTGCTTTCTGGACCCCTGCTTCGGAAGACAGCGATTTTTAACAGCTGATTGGCGGTTCTCTATGGGCAATCTTCGCTGGACGATGAGGTATTTCCCCATTGGAATGCATTGAGCAGTTTTCAAAGTGTTCCAGCGATTTTCCTGGAATGGATGATCGTCGTCAAGTGGGACACCACTGTATTATATCCTTAGTCTATAGTTTGTTGCTGTTGTGTGCCATCAAGTCAATTCTGACCTATGGCAACCCTTTTCCAGGTTTTCCAGGTAGCTCAGAAGTAGTTCACCATTCCCTTTTTCTGGGGGTGGCCCTGGGAGTATGTGGCTTGCAGAAGGCCACATGGGCTTACTCTTCTGGGAAGCACAGCGGGGAATTGAACTCCCAACCTCTGGCTCCACAGCCAGATGCCTAGCTCATTGAGCTATCTAGCTAGCTGATATTAGGTACACAATATCTAAAAGGCATATGGAGTTAAACAGTTTTATTTAGTGCTAGAAAACCTACAAGAAAGTCTTACACAATCAATCATTAATATATGAGGAAATTCCATATGGGAATTTTGGCTTCTGGGCTTGGATCCTAAGGGAAGTTCAGTTGAGGAACTATATGGAAGGAACATTTCCCATCCCTTGAACTTCCAGAACTCTTTCAGAGCTGCTAATTTGTCAACAGTCCCATTCATGTGGTGGGTCATATATTAGATTTGGTATTCTGAACAGATCAAGGAGAGAGTGGACCGATGGTGACCGACTTGGTATCAATCCTTGTCATGGACGGACCACCACCTAATAAAATGCAATCTCTCTGTGGCACTCTCCCCCTCCCGTGCGGGGAGCAGGGATCCATTAAAATGGTCCACCCCTGCAGGCTACGGATCCTGTTGGTTTCCAAGAGGCAATGTGGGGGATACCGTCTGATCTAGTTGATGCTCTGGTAGATGAATGGTACGTGGCAGCCTCCAGGGTGGCTGACCTAATCACTCCTAAATACCCCCTCCATTCTCAACCTCAGCCAGCTGCCTGGTATAATCAACAGCTGCAGAAGTTGAAGAGTAATAGGAAGAGGCTAGAGGACATTTGGAGATGGGCCCCAATGGTAGCTAACTTAAATGCTGCTAAAATCGTGTCAAATATTTATTTAGCCAACGTGAAGGCTATGAGAAAATCCTACTTTGCTTGCCAGATAAGTGAAGCTGTTCCACATTGTATGTGATTTGTCCAGAATTGGTCACAGTGACAGGCCTTCCAGTAACATCTCCTGCGACCAATTTTGTGGCCTTTTAAAAACATAAAGTGGAGGCCATCTGCCAGGACTTAGATATTTCCTCTTTATCAGTGGATCAAGCTGAGAGGCCCAGCACATCGCCTTGCCTGGAAATTTTATTTATTTATTTAATATCCCACCCATCTAGACTGAAGTCTACTCTGGGTGGCTAACAACAAGTTCATAAAACAATTTCATAAAATGATAACAACCACAACATAATATGATTCAAGATGGGGAAAATAAATAATGACAGGAGGGAATGCCTGCCTAAAGAACCAGGTCTTGAGCTTACTCTTGAAAACACCCAGCGAGGGAGCCAGGCAAATTTTTTGGGGGTAAATTGTTCCAGAGATGAGGGGCCACTGCCGAGAAGGCCCAGTTTCTTGTTCTTTCTCTCCAGGCCTCCCTCAGCGTTAGGCCCCTCATCTTCCTTTCCTGGCTAGAGCAAATCAGTACATTAGGGGTGCAAATACGGGTAGATCTAGGTGGGAGAAGGTGTTCTGCCAGATAATTTTAACACAATTTTAGCACGTGACATCAGTTGAGGTTGACAGGGTCCTTGACCGCTACAGGGCCACCACCTCCTCACTAGATCCTTGCCCAGCCTGGCTCTTAAAAGCGGCCAAGCTGCTAACAACTTAATGGGCAGAGGCTATTATTAATGGGTCTCTCCTTGAGGGCAGGGTCCCCCTCGCCCTCAAGGAGACACTTTTTAGGTCAATTTGGAAAAAAAACAATTTGGTGGCTGATGGCAGCTATCATCCAGTTGCCAATATCTCCTTTATTGGCAAGCTGGTGGAGAGAGTGGTGACCAATCAGCTTCAGGCTCTTCTGGAGAAGACCAATGCCCTTGATCTGTTCCAGTCTGGGTTCAGGCCCCCTCATGGCATGGAGACGCCATTGGTCGTCCTGCAAGACTACCTCTTGAGGGAGGCAGACATGGGCAAAACATCCTTGCTGGTCCTCCTCGACCTTTCAGTAGCCTTTAATACTGTTGACCACAGTATCCTCCTGGGCAGGCTCTCAGGGTTGGGGATCGGTGGTCAGGCCTTCTTGGGGGACTATCTTCAGAGAGCTGAGCTTGGGAATATGTTGTCCACTCTGTGAACTCTTAACTGTGGAGTTCCGCAGGGGTCAATCATCTCCCCAATGCTATTTAATATCTATATGAGGCCACTGGGGGAGGTCATCAGGTGTTTTGGAGCTTTGTGTCACCAATACATGCATGACACTGAGCTCTATCTCTCTTTCCAACCTTCTGCAGTGGATGCTGTCCTGTCCCTTGAGCATTGCTTGGATGCAGTACTGGGATGGATAAGGGACAACAGACTACAGGTGGGGGCCCTTAATGTCTGTGGTCTGGGTGCCTCCCTATCTTCTGGGAGGTGTACTTTTTTTCCATGAAGGATGAGGTTCGTAGCTTGGGCGTGCTTTTGGGCCCATCGCTGTCAATGACATCTCAGATAGCATCTGCGGTCCGATCTGCTTGCCTCCACCTAAAGAGGATTGCCCCGCTACATCCCTACCTTGACATCAGGTCCCTCACCACGCTGGTTCATGCGCTGGTAGTCTCAAGATTAGCTCTGTAATGCCCTCTATGTGGGCTTGCCCTTGGGAGTGCTACGGAGACTGCAACAGGTCCAGAACGCAGCAGCCAGACTTCTGAGTGGGACCAGAAAATATCAACATATCTCCCCCAACCTAGCTGTCTTACACTGGCTGAGAACGCAGCAGCCAGACTTCTGAGTGGGATCAGAAAATATCAACATATCTCCCCCCAACCTAGCTGTATTACACTGGCTACCTATTCACTTGCGTACCAGTTTCAAGGTGATAGTATTAACCTATAAGGCCTTAAATGTTTTGGGACCTTGATATATGGCCGAGTGCCTCCTTCCAGTTAGGTCTGCCCATCCTATAAGGTCATCACAGGCAGGGCCGCTGAGAGTTCTGACCCCGAGAGAGGCCTTGAAAATAACTACTAGAAATTGGGCCTTCTTGGCTGTAGCTCCACAATTATGGAACTCTTTTCCTCCTGAAGTCTGCCTGGCTCCTTCACTGGGCACATTCAAAAAGCTATAAAAAACCTGGCTATTTAGACAGGCCTTCCCTGAACGAACAATTTATTTATTTTATTTTATTTATATCCCGCCTATCTGATCAATAGACCACTCTAGGCAGCTTACAACAGGGATAAAACAATAACTAAGGCAACTTATATAAAAACACATTCAACAATTAGATCGAACGCAAGGAGAGAAAAAAGAGGGGAATCAGAAATTGGCTGGGGGGGGAAGGCCTGCCGGAACATCAATGTTTTTAGTTGTTTTTTGAAAATACCCAGCGAGGGAGCCGCACGAATATCAGGAGGAAGGTTGTTCCAGAGGCGAGGAGCCACCGCCAAGAAGGCCCGGTTTCTTGTCTTTTCCTTCCGGGCCTCCCTCGGCGTTAGGCTCCTCAGCCTCACCTCCTGGCTCGCGCGAGTGATACGGGTAGATCTTGGTGGCAGAAGGCGTTCCACCAACACCCTGATACAATAGTGCCTGATAATATAGCATCCATCATACTGCTGTGTTCCATGATTTATATTTTTATGATTTTAATTGTATTTATTGTATTGTATTTTTATCCTCACTGCACTTTATGATTTTTGATTTGCGCCCCTAATGTACTGATGTCGTTATTTGTTATTTTGCTACTTTGTTTTGTGTTACTTGTTGTAAACTGTCCCGAGTGGCCTTGGCTGCCAGATGGACAGTATAAAAATTAATTAATTAATTAGTCTTGCTTTACTTAGTCTTACATTAGCGACTCATTTTAGCATAGTAAGTTTCAACAAGAATAGACCCATTTGAAGCAATGGAACTTACAAAGGACTTGACTCACCAAATCCCCATTGATTCAGTGGGCCTTCTCTAGTACAAACGATGTGAAGTAACAGGATTTCAGCCATTATGTATTTATATGCCAGATAGAAATATTTTAATAAGTTTAATAAATAATAAATAAAATAATTAATAAAAAATAAAATAAATTTACTGAAGACCTTAGCCCCACTTTCTTGACTTTATAAAATACCAAGTTGGCTAAATACCTCCTCTGATCCTCCATCAGCCCTCCATCTCTGTACTTAATATATAGTACACAGAGGGTAAAGATTTATACTTTAGTAATCCACCATTGATGAAGAACTACAAGTAACTCCCTCGCCCCAGTATTTCGAGCTTCAAATCATAGGTTATTTTTGCCAAAGAACCCTCTTCTGTCCCTCTCTAACCTAATTTTTCCTTTCTATGTAACCTACTCCTTTTCACTAATCTCCTGTCTCACCTTAATGTTAAAGTCACTACGTCTGCCTCAACAGGACAAGCAGTAATGTTTTCTCCTCCTACTTCACTCTCTCTTCCCCACCTAATTAGATCTCTTACAAGTCATCTAAATCTGAAAGCCTTTAGTCTTTTCTCCTTTCTGTACCTAAAAATCATTCCCTTTTCACTTTGTTTCTTTCAATGTCCAGATCCTTCTATAGATTTAACTAATCAGCTTCTGGTCCTGCTCATGTTTTTCACATGAAATATTCTTCTTCATCATCTAATAAACAAAGAATTTGGGAGTATTCTGATCTTTGGTCCTGTCTTACTGCTACTTCCACGTTTCAAAGGTGTTCCGTCTACAGCTGAGTGGATTTTTTCCACTTGAATTCATCAAATTATGCCACCTTGCATCATGATTCTGAGTGAAACACCCATGACATGTGTCACTCTGATACATGTGCCTTATTAGACACAAAGAAATGTGTAATTTATTGGGACACTGACAGCACACTGTCACCATTTAAGAGGACTTCTGTGTGAGATGCACACAAAGGACACTCAGGTTCATTTTCATTTCCTGGCTACATCCTAGGGGAGAGTAAGTGCAGAGACCTCAGCTGCTGGGAGGAAGGAAGGATTCTGCCCTACTGACTTGCATGTCTTTTTTATTTCTAAAATGTGGTATCATCTGCACATAATTTTCAAGGTGAATAAAATACAATGAGGAGTGCATTTCCAACTCTGTTTTAAAGCAAGCTACACTTAACGTTCAGCCTACTTTAGATGTTATGTTAATCACAGTTAATAGCAGGAAAGGAAGGGGTGGAAATTGAAGGAATGAGGAGGAGGAATGGGTCAGTCTAAGGAGCACACCCCATTTCCTGACCATAGAGGACTTGGAAGTGTTATGTCTGTAGCATAAATCCAGCCACAGACAGATGTCACTTGTGCCATTTCCCACAGATTAAGACAAAACTCAAAACAAATCCTTTCCAGAAAAATCTCAACTGCAAATAGCCTTTTCACAACTGCTGACCGGTGTCAGTTTGTGAGACATGTGCACAACCTCCTGCCACATTGCATGGCCTGTTTGCTGTCGTTTGTAAGCTCTGTGAGGTACACACATTGTTGCTTCTACAGTCCCACTTAAACTGCTATCACATAACCATTAAAGGGACTATGACATGAAAAAGCCATTTAGAAAAACAGATCAATGCTACAAGTCAAAGGAAGCCCATCATGAAACTCATGTGATACTATGAGACATCTTATTTACCAGCCCTTGTATATCTAACTGTAGGCAAATCTCAGATGTTATTCAAGGAGTTTAGCACTCACAGGTAAGGGAATGGTCTCCTTGTACCGTGGACATCTACAACTTTAGATCACAAGGACCAGTCCTAACTTCTGGCACTTACCTACCAAAATTTATACTCATTGCATTAAATTACCTGTATTTTGCCCAATCACGAAGAGAAAACTTACTTGCATAGAGGATTCCATCACTGAAACCACAGTTACAGCATCTTCGATGGTTACAGTCTCTCTAAACATCAACCGAGCATGTGCTAAAAGACCATTAAAATAACAATAACAAATGTTACTAAATGTGACACACAAATGACTGACTGGAGCAAAACATTTGATGGGAAAAACTTTAGTTGAAATTATATTAAGATCAGTTATTTTCCTACCCAATTCTTTTAATTTGGCTGTATTTTTCAATGCATAAAAATACCAGTGCATACCAAAAAAATGATCGTAGATTTTCAGGGGAAAAAACCTGGCAAATATTTGTGCCAGATACCAATGAAAGGATGGAATATGACAATTTTGTGCTTCAATATAATGCCCAAATGGCACATAAAATCCATTTTTCTCAACAGGGTAGCATGACAGCACTTTGAAATGTTCTACTTTCCACAGAAAACAAGTTACCCATATTTATGCTCCATGTACTGGGCACAAGGTGCTTGCAAGGACTATAGTTCTTTAAATCTCCCAGCCAGCACAGAAGCTACAACATATGAATGGGTTTGTGCATTTAAGAGTAAAGTCTCAGGAGCTGTATTTACAGGAACCACAAATAGTTTTAAATATTATATAGTCTGATGTAGGAAATAACTGGTGTTGCAGAAAACTCTTCTGAGAAGTGACAAAATTATATAAGCATGAGAAGTTCTGGAAGATAGATTTTTCTTCCTTAGAGCAATCAGCAACAGGAAAAAATAAACTCTGTGGCTCAAAGTTTAAATATAGAAAAAATATTATTTTGAGGTGAGAGGAAAGCCTCAAGCAGTGCTAGGGGGCACATCTTGGCCATAGCTGACCTACATCAAATTATTAATCCCCACTACAGTAGGTCTACCTTAGTGGGGCCTAATTACTGGATTCAGGTCATGTGTGGGCAAAACGTTTCCCCTCCTGCACCCCTGGTGGCCCCTATTCCTCTCATACTCTAAAATGCTAGTGTGTGTGTGTGTGTGTGTGTGTGTGAGAGAGAGAGAGAGAGAGAGAGAGAGAGAGAGAGAGAGAGAGAGAGAGAGAGAGAGAATCACACATTTATCTTGTGCTCTCTAGAGTGTGAATAGGGTAGCTCTGCCATGTTCTGAGGGACCTTCAGCACCCATTTTAATTTTCTTTTAGAAAATATTTTTGGACACTAAAGGGCACAAGTGACTCTTTCGTTAACAAACATCCCCTCATTTTTGTGAGAATTTTTTTTAGTGCAATGAGGGTCACTGGCGCAGCCCTTCTAAGTTTTGGAGAGAGGGTGTGTGAAGCCCTCAGATCTCTTGAGGTTGTTCACCCCTGATTTTAGGTCCTTAGCCTGCCTATGGCTGAATCAATGCCTCTTCTAAGAATAGCTTATCTCCTGCTTACTTCAACTCTTTTCAGTCTGACTTTTGTTTCAGTGTGTGCTATGCCCACTGGAGTAGGGAGTAGGGAGAAAATCAAGTCCTCACCTTCAGCTAACCGTATCAAACTCTCTAACAAGCGGACAGTGGTTCTTGCAGCGTTTCTACAATCACTCTGTCTCTGCATCTGATAATAGCGGAGAAGGATCAGGTTGCTTTCCTCAGTCACCACTGGATGCAGGTTCTTTATAAGGGAGAAGTACGTCTTCATTTTTTCCATAGACCAGAGTTTTTCAGATATGCTTGGACAGGCTGCCAAAAGGAGAATTTCCCAAAGCAACACATTCACCAATATGACAATAATTACAAAAGGCCTAGTATTAATAAATTTTAAGTTAATGTCAAAAGATATTTTGTTATATTATAGATTAAGTTGATGGAGACGTTGCGTAACATATGCAAGTCTGTGCAAATTTATTCACCTCCACTGACTGAACTGCAGTGTCAAAAGTAAAGTATCTCATTTTTTAAAAAAGAACCTTTTCGTTACAAAGTATTTTTTGTGTGGACATTTCCTCCATATGGGGGGAAAACATCCAGTGTACTTATTGCAGTACTTTTCATGATAGAAATAATTTTTAAAAAGCAGCAAAATTGCAAAGGAAATACCAGCGTCTAGAAAAGCAGACAGATATCTTTTTGTTTGGCTTTATCAATAACTGGCTTCTGATTACTTTCCAGCTTCCATGGCATGAAACTACCAGCGTCAAGAAAAGCAGACAGATATCTTTTTGTTTGGCTTTATCAATAACTGGCTTCTGATTACTTTCCAGCTTTCATGGCATGAAACAGTTTAGCTGATGTATATTCTGTGGTTGGCTTCTGGGCGGCGTATTTATTTATTTAGCTGATGTATATTCTGTGGCGTTAATAGAAAGCCACTTTACCTTTGTTTTCCAATATGAAAGAAGAAATTATGCGATCCCACTCTTCATTTTTTGTATCCAGCAATACCAAGACAAGGTCAAACCTGCTAAGAAGAGGACTTCCAAGGGCTATGTTCACAGAGACAGATTCACTGGGGTCGTATTGGCCCTTTGGGTTGGTGGCTGCCAAAATAGTAGTCCTTGTATTCAGTTTGCACACTAAGCTGAAGAGAAAGTTGATCTGCATGAGTTCCTGAACTGAAATAAAAGTTTTAAATTTCTTGATAGGGGATTTTTCCTTTCAAACCCCTCTAGTCCCCAAAGCACTGTATATACTGCATATGGACTGAACAGCTCATAGAAGGCAATTCAATGGACAGGTTTGCAGAATGCAGTACAAGGGCTGCGTGTACACATTTGGCAAGCCACATAAATGGCAATGGATAAGATCAGCAACAGGGAAATCTTTATGATGAGCTAGAGCGCACACTCACAATTTTAAACCTGCACCACATTTGCTAATCAGCCCAGTACTGGACAGAGCTGATCAGTAGCACTGTCCTTCCCAACACCCAGAATTAAAATCTGCAAAGCCAGCATTGAAATCTGGCAACTCCAGTTTCTGCTATGTTCTGGCTCAAACCCACCCAGGTCCACCCTCACTCTACACCAGTCTACCGAACTACCCATTATCTGACTCATCACCTGGTCATACCAAGAGGAATTGTTAATGTTTCTAAATGAGATTGAGATAAACCTGACAATAAAAAACATATATGCAAAGCTCTTCCACATGCAAACATTCATGTATGCCTTTCTCTCCAATACTCATACACAGAGCTGTGCTTACTCAATGTCTGGCCACATATGGCCTTTCCTTTCACTCCCTACTTGTAAATATACAGATGTTTACTCACATACCTGTGAGTGCAAATTTACAAATCAGCTCATTTACACAAGAGTATCTGTGGCAGCATTTTACTACTGTACATATTTTCCCCCTTCCTTAATTCACTTGACCTTGATTCAAGGTTTGTTTCCAGCACTCCAGAAGGATGTTTTTGTCCATGTAGTCATAGCACAATCCTTTCATTGCAGACAAACAGCTGTTCTAAATCTGATGTAGTGATCTATTTTGAGTTGGTGCCATCTTAGCTCTTGCCTCATGTATTGAGCAGAAACAAGTGCCGCACCAATAACCTTAAGCTTTTACATCTGTAGTATATAACATGGGAAAAGTACTCTGATTCATAGCCAGTAACAACACATTCAAAAAAGAAGTCAACACTGACCCTGCTGTACAAATGCCTTAAGAATTTCCAAATATGGAAGTAAAAGGTTGAAGGCACAGAATACATACTTGGAATGGAAGAAGGGTCTAAAATTCCAACAACTGTTTCACAGCTCTCCTTACTAAAAATGTATTCTCCCCCCTCCTTTCAGTTAAAACATCATCCAATAATGGTCATTTTAAGGTTGTGTTTATGTTCCGTCTTATATTGGTACAAGGAAGATATAAAAGCATTGAATAACATACATTGCTCACTCCCATCTATGCTACTTTTATATACTATTCAGAAAACCCAAACCTGAAGCGCACTCTTGGAGCACAGTTTCCTGCATATTCACCCAGAACTAAGACCCACTGGGATCAATGTGACTATATCCCACAACCACAGCTCTACTGTAAGGAGCAATATACAGATATGGAAGACTGCGGCTCTATTGCAGGGAAACATTTTCCCATTTCATGCCTCTGTGCTGGAAGAGTGGTGAGCCAAAGAGGGGACAAGTAGCCAGTCAGACACAAACTGAAATCACACACTGGCATTTACTGAGAGACACGATGTTGCAATGGGTGAAACCTGGCTCTTATAATGGTTGGGGTCAAATAAAGAATTTGGAATTGCCAGTGTAGAGGGAAAGAATAGCATTCCATAAGCCCCTTGCATTGTTTAGTTCCATGTTCTTATGCTTACAACTGGGGGAGGATTTCTATCTTTCACATTTTCTCTGCAACCTGTATTTGAAACTATAAGCAAGTTCAAACATGGTTATGAGGAATGTGGCCTTTCTCATCAGATTACTCATAAACATATTCAAACTCATCCATAAGCTCAAACATAGGTTGCAGGGGGAGAAAAAGACATGTCATAGAAATCCTCCCCCTACTTATGACTGTACATATGCCAATTTGTTTCCCAGATGATTCCAGAGATGAACGTTATTTGAAAGAGATCACTTCTTACTGCACTTCTGCTTCCGATAATGAAAATGAGCTTTGATGCATTATTTAAAGAACCTGTGAAACCTGTTTGAGGAGAGTCATTCATGAGACAAAAGAAATGGGAAATGAAGTTGCTTTAAATTCTCTTAAAAACCATGAAGAGACATTTCCAATTATTTCTTTCAGCCAAACCTATAGGGTAGAGAAAGGGACATGGTGGCGCTGTGGGTTAAACTGCAGAAGCCTCCGTGCTGCAAGGTCGGAAGACCAGCAGTCGTTAAGATCGAATCCACACAATGGAGTGAGCTCCTGTCGCTTGTCCCAGCTACTGTCAACCTAGCAGTTCGAAAGCATGTAAAAATGCGAGCAGATAAATACAGTGGTGCCTCGCATAATTCGCATAGCAATCCGTTTTTTGGGATTGCTAATGCGATTGCACACCGATGCTTTCTATAGCCGAAAATCACCTTGCGACGATCGGTAAGCGTTTTGCTTACCGATTTTCACATAGCGATTTTTTAAAACAGCTGATCGGCGGTTCCAAAATGGCCGCCGGATGCCCAAAATGGCCGCGCACAGCATTTTCGCGCCCTGCCCTCACTTACTGAGGGCGTGAAAATGTCAGACGGATGGGGAAACATCACAGAAGGGTGAGTTTTGGGCCCCACAAGGTTTTTCCGTTCCAAGGGAAACATCGCAGAACTGTGAGTTTTGGGTCCCATTGGAATGGGTTTTTCCATTCCGTATAGCGATGTTTCCCCATAGCGACGGTTAATCCGGAATGGATTAACCTCGCTATGCGGGGCACCACTGTAGGTACCATTTCAGTGGGAAGGTAACGGCATTCTGTGTCTAGTCACACTGGCCATGTGACCACAGAAACTGTCTACAGACAAATGCTGGCTCTACGGCTTGGAAACGGGGATGAGCATTGCCCCCTAGAGTCGGACATGACTGGACTAAATGTCAAGGGGAACATTTATCTTTACCTATAGGGGAGAGAAAAGCCAATCACTTGTCTTTTAGCTGGGGATTTTCGTATAACAATAAGAATATCCCCGCAAAGGTGGCGATAATGACGGTCCAGCCCCATGGGCTAGACGGTCCACTCACCGATCCGCCGCTACCATGGACACTGTGATTCTTCCACTCTTCAACCTTGCAGCAAGGCTTATTCTCCCACCTCCTGCCAGGAGTGGCTAGCCGATCGCGATCTGTGAAGTGATTGGAAGAATCGTGGCGTCCGGGGCTGGACCCTCATTTTCGCCACCTGTGCAGGGATACCCCCATCTCTACTCATGAGCTTTTTGGTATAGAAGTCTGTGTGTGGCTCTCCCTTTTGAATTATTTTTCATTTTTGTTGAGTTAAAAACACAGTAATTTGGCATGTGCTTGTTTCCTCCCTACAGACTATGGAATGCCCTCCCGACTGAGATTCGTCTGGCGCCGACACTGATGACATTTCGGCGCCAGGTCAAAACCTTCCTGTTCCAGAAGGCTTTTAACTGAAATAATATTAGCTGTGGGTCCGATGGCAATTTTATATATATTTTAATTGTATTTTAATTGTTGCATATCTTTGTTGTATTTTGGATGCTGTAAGCCGCCCAGAGACCTTTGGGTAGTGAGGGCGGCATATAAATAAATAAATAAATAAATAAATAAATAAATAAACAAACAAACAAACATGGCAAATGCAGTTTACAAAGATGACGTGTGAGTAAACTATCTCACAATGGCTTACGTAACTCAAATTATTTTTTGATACAACTACAGTGGACCCTCTACTTAAGGAATTAATCCGTATTGGAATGGTGGCTGCAAGTCGAAAAGTGTGTAAGTTGAATCTCCATTGACCTACAATGCACTGAAAACCGATTAATCCCATAACCAGTGGTTTTCATTCTATTTTTATTCCATTTTGGTTTTTTTCTGGTCTGTAAGTCGATTCTCTGGCTGCAAGTCGAATCTAAATTTTGCAGCCAGAGAAGTCTGTAACTCGAAAAGTCTGTAAGTCGAGCCGTCTGTAAGTCGAGGGGCCACTGTAAAGTATTTCCTCTTTAATTAAAATATTCACTGAGTTAATTTTGACCTTGGTAGGTCAGCTGAAGTGTATTTTTAAAAAACATTTATAGTCCAACTCTTCCATGATGGTGTGTGAATAACTGTTTCCAGCCTGTGGCCCTCTACAAATATTCCAGGGCCCCCAGGGGGGCCACGTGCCCCCCCGAGAATGGCTGCTTTAGACAAAGGCTGTGACTGCACTGGGAAGCTGAATTGGAGCCATTTGGCTTTGCTGGAGCCCGATTTGCAGCCTATTTTATTCTTCTGTTTGGGTTAGGTAATCACACGAAGACTCTGGAGGCGTCTACTTTTTACAAAACTACCCCTTCTATCTGATATGGTTTGATTTGTGCCACAGACCTCTTTCTTTTGACCCACCCTCTGCTTATCCTCCAGCTCTTCATTTATGGTTCATTGTAAAGCCTTTGGGCTGTTTGAAGTCTTGCACAGTGCTAGGGGAAAGGGACAGTTTTCCAAAATTCTCCATAAAGGACAATCACATACACACACACCATGGATACATAGTTGTCTTCTGTACTTCATCTGAGTTCTTTGTACTTCATAATAATTTTTATCTTTTGTCTGTGGAGAAATAATCTAATGCTAAACTTGTATATCCATGTAGTGATAGGGTGATCTAATGCTAAACTCAGCAGTTTGTTTATATATACAGTGGTGCCTCGCATTATGATGTTAATTCGTTCCAGCGAAATCGCTGTAGAATGAAAACATTGTAAAGCGAAATTAAAAAGCCCATAGAAATGCATTAAAACCCGATTAATGCGTTCCTATGGGCTTGAAACTCACCGTCCAGCAAAGATCCTCCATAGTGCGGCCATTTTCGCTGCCCATGCAGCGAGGAATCCGTCCCAGAAAACAGCGGGCGGTCATTTTTTTTACCCGGTGGCCATTTTGAAACTGCCGATCAGCTGTAGGAAAATCGTCGTTTTGCGATAATCATCGCAAAGCAAAATTCCCCCATAGGAAACATCGTTTTGCGATCGCAAAAACATCATCGTTATGTGATTTCATCGTAAAACGGAGCGCTCGTCTTGCGAGGCACCACTGTATATGGGGTAACAATACTGTGTGTGTGTGTGTGTGTGTATACATACATACATACATACATACATACATACATACAGAGAGAGAGAGAGAGAGAGAGAGAGAGAGAGGTAACATTAGTACATCATCAGACTACCACCTACAGTCACACGCACCCATCCTTTTGGAAAATGAAAAAACTGATCACATGGGAAAAATTCCCTTCCAATTGAAGTCTGAAAATTTGAAAGTTTGAAAAAAACAGAAACCCCCAGAGGCAGAGGAGAAAATTCTGTGCTCGGAGCAAAAAGGGCTGGATTGATTCAAGATGGCCTTTGCATCATATCATCATTTTACACCCACAGCAAAACCCACCATATCTTACCATGTAGTTGCTGCCTTAGAAATACTACATGGCTCAAGATCACCCATGTGATTTCCCATGGCACCCCACTCACCATGCATGGGTCAGTGAAAGGGTTCCTCAGAGGCAATCATTTGAATCTAGCTAACTCCATGGACAGCAGCACTGACTGATTTGTGTGGCCAGTGCTATTCACCTAAGAGCCATTAGTCTCAGTCTCAGAGAAAGTGACATAGGAGGGCAGCCAAAGGCATTTCATGTGACTCGGGTGGTGGGGCACTGATGCTGCACACAATACTGGTCCTCAAACATCTTCAACACAAAGGTTAAGAAATAACACAGGAATAGGGCACTGAAGTCAATTTACCAGACCCACCAAGTGGGGTGGTGGTGGTCCCCTACGTACCCAGCCTTTGCCACACTGATGGTTTGCTGCTCCATTGCTTCATGAATGCTGGTTCTGTCATGTTCTTTGATGCTGTTAAATTCATCAATACAACAAAGGCCCCCATCAGCCAGCACCAGAGCGCCAGCCTCCAAATTCCATTCCCCAGAATCTTTCACAGCAGTGACTGTCAAACCTTCAGGAGGAAAAAAAATTGCACATTTGAAAGTAAAGCACAGCTGTCTGGCTCAGAGTTCCATTTATACAAGGTTGAGACTTAAAACGCATGAAGATGGCAGTGCTACCCAGTGTGGATGGATACGGATACAACCGTGTTAGTCTTGGTCCTGTTACCAAGGGAGATGTAGTCCAGTCTATCTGGAGGGTACCTGCCAAAGATTATCCATGGTTTTTAGATGTATCAGTGCTCTATGAGTACAGCTGCTGATAAATCTAAGCATCTTTGTATCCATTATTTGCAATACTCGGCTGACAGCAATATAACGAAAAAGAAAATGCCAAGGCAGCATGGGAACAATGACACATTGGGAGTGTTTTGTCTTGAACTTCATTGGCTAATGAAAGGGAACTTGTTTTCCACACAACTATTTATTTTAGAGAATATCACAGACGATATATCAGATCTAGCATGTGGGCAGATGTGACAAAAGAAAGTGAGCAGCAGGCCACATACAACCTGAGGCACTGTGTGGGCTTGGCTTATTTGGAAAATCAGTCGGTATTAATGAAAATGATGTTGTTGCTCCTTTGTTGGCCCTCTCCCTCTCTGGATCTTGTCTCCCTGTAGCTCCTCTCTCTTCTCTCTATAGACGTATTCTCTAATGCTCTTCTTCTCTTTGGCCTATCTCTCTCCATGATTTCCCCTTCTATTTCTCCATGGTTCTCTCTGTTTTTGGCTTCTCTCTTTGTGGCTTTTCTCTCCCTCCATTCTCTATATGGCTCTTCCCCCCACCTCTGGACAATGACTATGTTCTCTCTATGGCTCTCTTCTCTCTCTCTCCCTTCTTTGTCCCCTCTCTGGATCTACCCTCTCCACTCCCCCCCCTTTTCTCTTGCTTTCCCTAGTTCTCTCTCTGGTTTCTCCTTCCCTCCACCTTTCCTCTCTCCATCTCCCCTGTGTGTGTAGTATGTATTCAGACACTTATTCTTGTGACACAGCTGAAGTTCTAGTCTATCATCTTCCCCAGAAGTAAGCCCCATTCACTTCAATGAGACTCATTGGTTTACTGAAATACTGGAAAGAGGTTTGGGCAATGTCTACAGAATACTTCAGTACAGAATACTTCAATAAGCTCGTGTAGCCATGCTTTATGAAAAATTTCTCATGCATAACAAGCCTATGGAATATTCTATATCTTAGAACAGCATGGATCAACTTCAGATTTAAAAATGCATGTGGCAGGAATAATTTCCTTTTCAGGAAACAGCAATAGGCATTTGAAAAATACCTAATGAATTTGGTATGAAGTGTAAAATAATTGCAGAAAAATAAGATCACAGGGTAAAGTTTTTTTCTCCCTCTGAATGTTATAAATACTTGCCCAACTTTCTCCAGATCTAGCACTGAGTAAGCCCACACTATCTACAATCACTCTGCTGATCCATGAACCCATTCAAAAGTTACAATTTTTAGTTTGGAATGCCCGCTATTAGGAATAGCTTCCACAAATGCTACAGTATTTTGATAAGCCATGCAATATTAGAGGCACACTCTCCTGCACCTCTAATAAATTCTTAGTCCCTCTAATAAATTCTTAGAGAAAGGTGTGTGAAGACAAATATTTTCACTGGTCATGAAAACACATTTGCATTGTCAAAACACAAAATAATATGAAGTTCCTCTGGTTTTAAGAGGACTTGGATGCACCTAGTTTTCACATATACCCAGTATTTTCACTGAATGCCAGCCAGCCAATACAACCAGTATGAGATTTAAATACAAACTGAATGGATGACTACATTTGCCATTTACCACACAATTTGTATCAGAGTGGTCACCAGAGATGCGCATGAAGCACTTCACGTCAGGTCATCCACTCAGACAAGGAGTTGAGGCAGGAATTCCTGAAGTGCTACCTGTGAGTGGGCAGTTGCTGGAGGAGGTGGAGAAGGGACATCCACGCTTCTGCCAGGACTGGAAAATCACATGCCGGGGAGAGAATGAGTAACACACACTGGCTGGTGACTAGGGTAGCCAGTAAAGGGGGGTAGGATGGAGGCAGAGAACCTGCAGCAGCTGTGGTGCTACACCAACGACTTAGGACAACCCAGCATGAATTGCTTCGTACCCATCTCTACTGGGCACTGCTGAAATTGAATTAAAACCTCTCAGTGTGGAGAAGTCCACTATGGAATTGCCTCTGTTGAGTGAGGAATAATCTTTTTTCTTCAGCCAACAGGTGTGGTTTAAATTTGTTCTTTCCCATACAGTCACCTGTTCCAATGTAAAGGAGCACTCGTAGGGTCATCAGTTCCCCTCAACAACAACACAGCATTTTATTTGCATTAGACATAGGCCTTAACAAGATAAATATAACATTTACAAAATATAAGTTTTGCATACTGAAATCAAGTTAACAATTGCATATACATCAGATGCATATAGTATACTTGTGCCAAAATTAGACAACTAGCTCTATAAAAGGTTAGTATTTTAAAATCATATTTGGCCTCATTTTAATTGCTGCTGCCAGAAATTTAGCTGACTGTACCATCACCTGTTTAGCTTGGTCTGCAAGGGGAAAAGATAAAAATCAGACCAACAACCTGGCTTTTTAACTAACAAGAGACAAATTAGCTCTTTGTGCATGTCTCTATAGAATGAGAAAAAAATAGCACATAGGGTAGGGTTTTAACACCTTCACCACATGGACATGTGCGATTTTGTAATGGGATTCCTTTGAAATGGCCCTTGAGTAGTACTGAAGGCATGACATTAAGTCACACACATGAAAATGCCCTTCTGTATTTTGGAGCTGTTAGCCATTGCGCCATTGTTTTTGGATGACTTATCCTGGAGCAGTCACAGTTCCCCCTCAACCAAGTACCTCCTTGTCTCTAAATTTTTTCTTCTTTTTTTCAACTCAGTGCTGGAATACACGATTGCTAGGGCACTTAGGAAAATAATAAAAAACAAAACATAAACAACTCAAACTATAGAATTACACACATATTCCCCCTAAATTTGCATTCTTTGTCTTGCCGTGAAATGCTAAATCTTTAGTTTTGTATTTTTTTCTTTAATGATCTAATATTTAGATCATTAAAGAAAAAAAACGAAAGAGAGATAGGTGAAACTGTCAATTATCACCTCGTTATCACATTAAGGCAGCTTCTTCTGTTGGAGCCCCATGCAAACCAAGCTCTTTGCAAGAGCAGACTCCTGCCAATTGTCCTCTGGGCAGCTACAGCAATTTCACCTTTATAAATCCTCAGGTGCAAGTAACAGATCAGACTGTATTTTTCTTGTTCGTTAGTGACCTCAATCTGTAAAAGACCCTGAAGTTTGTACAAAATTTCAGGGTTGATAAAACTGTCAGAAGAAAGCACCTTTCTGGTAATGTTACTGTAAAAACCATGACAGTCTGGCCGCCGTCCGCTCGAGCTACGGAAGCCCATCTTGCTCTTGGAGGGGAAGCCTCGGCTCCGGGAGGCGGGCCCTCGGCGCGGGGGCAGCCAATCCGCTCCGCCGCTGCCCGTTAACAGGGCAGGCTCTCGGCTGTAGTTTTAGTGTAATAGGAAAGCTGCAAAAACAGTGTGGAGTCCTTGCTCTTGGGTGCGAAGCGGAGGAGGCGGAGGAGAAAAAGAGCAGGATTAGGAAGGCGAGCGGGAGGGGGGGGAGAAAAAAAGAGGGCGAAGAAGCAAAAGTTTCCCTAAGTGGCCGCCCGCCCGCCGACCTGCTCCGGGGTTTGTCCGTCCAAGAAGCGAGGAGGACCCCCTTT